ACTAAACATTACAACAAACACAACAACAACAAACGCAAAAACAACAAACACAACAAAAACAATCGAAATTATTTTTTTTCTTTTTTCTTTTTCCTTTTGAAAATTTGTTGGTACTTAAAAATTGTCATTCACAAAATTTATATTAAATATTTATTTTTCTCGGTTGTTGTTGTTGTTGTGGTTGTTTGTTGTTTGTTAAAATAAAGAGAAAGTCACTCGTATTAAAATTTAATTACAAACACATTTATAATTTTTATTAAATATTTTAAAAAAAAAAAAAAACAAGTGGTAAATAATTTTAATAAATAAATTTTTACCTTTTTTTTTTTTCTTTTTTTTGAATAAATAAATTTTTTAAAGTCGTAAAAGTAAATAAACGAGTAAATAAAATAATTAAATTACCCTATAATTTATTACCGTAATTTTTTTCTTTATTTTTTTCTCCAAAAAAAAACTACAAGTTCGGTTTATAATATTTCCCACGATAATATTTCTACCATGGGGGGGAAAGAAAGAAGATTTGTGATTATATGTAATAATATAACTAAGGTATGAAGTAATAAAAAGTAATAAATAAATGAATATTTAAAAAATATTAATAATAATAATATTTTATGTGGTAAAAACGACTCGTCGTAATGTGTCAACCGAGTTTTGGTTAAAAAAAAAAAAAACTTTTAAAATACGTCAACGCCAAAAAAAAAAAAAAATATTTTAAATGTTTATTAAAAAAGTAATAATAATAATATTACGTAATAAATTAATGCCTCTCTCTCTCATTCTCTCTCTTTCTCATTATTAATATTCGGACATTTAATAATAAATTGTAAAAAAAAAAAAAAAAAAAGGTTATTGCTTACAGGCTGATTACATTCGTAAAAAATTATTTTTTATTAAACTTTAATAATAATAATTTATTAAAAAAATAAAAGTAGTTTATTAATACATAAAAACGTGCTTTTCCGCAAAAAAAAAAAATAAAAACGTTTAATAAGTTTTATTAATTAATAAATAATTTATTCCCGCCAAAAAAATCCTCGATTTAAACTCGTAAAAAATAATTTCATCGAAACGAAAACAAAAACTTGATGAAATGGTAACGAGCGAAAAGGGAATGATATCGATCAATCGATCGATCGATCGATCGATTGATTGATTGTGCTACACACCTATTGTCATAAATCACGTATCGATAAAAATATCGAATTCCGACGCGTTCAACCTAAAATACCTCCCCAAAAAAAAAAAAAAAAAAAAAAATGCGGACACTAAAATTTGACCTTAAAAAAAAAATTTTTTCTCTCTTATCACCGTGAACAAAAAAAAAAAAAAGAAAAAAAAATACGATTGATTACGTTTACTCGCGATGACGAAAGCATCCGCGATTGCGTCACGTAGAAAATAATAATAATAATAATAATAATAAAAATATGAAAAATTTTAAAAAAGGTAAAAAAAATTTTCGATTCCTATTAACCTCATTTTATTATTTAACTTAAATAATAATCGATATTTTGCATCGACCGGTAGTCGCGGGTTTACATGATGATGATAATAATGATGATGATGATGATGATGATGATGATGATGATGATGATGATGATGATGATGATGATGATGATGATGATGATGATAATGGTCATCATTACAATTAAAACTTGTTTTTGTCCTCAATTGTTTTGCTATGGAAAAATTTTTGTTTTTTTTTTTTTCGATTTGTAGTTTAAGTTGTGGTTTTTAAATAATGACACGACAAAATATATTATAACTGCTACCACTACCAACTGCTACCACTTTTAAAAAAAATTTTTGTAATCTGCTACTCTTTACCCAAATAAATAAAAACATAAACGAATTCATTATAAAAAATTATTATTCGATCGATTTACCAAATGTTTCTCTCACTTTTTTTTTTTTTTTTTGAGTTATTCTTACACTAAATTTGATGATTTTGACGTCATCAACTTTTTATTTTATTTAAATTACTACTAATAATGTTTTAGAAAGCTAATATACATAAAATTTATTTATTTATTTATTTATTTGCGCGAGCGCGAGTTAATAAACGCGATTAATTTATTAGGTACGTGAATATAAATGTAAAAACATTATGCGTGACGCGTTTTTTAATTTTCAAAAACTCTCACGCGAAAATAATAATAATAATGATAATGATAATAATGATAACAACGTGAGAATGACAACATTCATTTTCATTGAGAATGTTCTTTTTCATTGCATTGCATTGCACGTTTAAACCGCAATGAATTAAATATTGAGGCGGAGGATAGGGGAGGGAGGCGCCTCGCCTCTCGGCCCCCCGTGTGGGTTATGTGTGTCCCTTTGGCAATCAAATTTTTTTTTTTTTTAAAAGACGACCTAAAAGACAGATTCATGATTAACTCGTATCATTAAATGATGCGCGTGTAGACTAATAAAAAAAATTTTTTTTTTTTAAGGAAGTGATTGTCAACTTTTTTTTTTTTTTTTAGAAAATTCTGGTTATTCCAGAAATTAAATGATTTCAATATGGTCTCGTTGACACGATGCAAAAGAAATGAAAAAACACGCGTTATTATGCGTGAAAGATAAACTTTTGAAAATTGTTTTTTTCGTTTACATAATAATAATAATAATAATAATAATAATAATAATAATAATAATAATAATAATAATAAGACCCGCGGATCAATATAAAATTATTATTATTATTATATTCGGTTATAAATTTTTTTTATAAATTTTTAGGGTGTAATAATATATACAAGTATGACGTAAACCGATTTACGGTAATCACAATGGGAATTAGATACGGCACTGATTATAAATAAAAAATATTATATTATCATTATTGCCGCGCCATTCGTCAAACCAGTAAAAAAAAAAAAATGTCGAAAATTTTTTTTTTTGTTAGTTAATTTATTATTTGGTGAAACAATCGTAAAACCTTTGCGGTGTGACGATGATGATGAGTAAATGATGCCAACCGGTGCAAAAAAAAAAAAAAAAATTATGTAAAAAAAAAAAAATGCGATGATGATAATAATAACGATAGTAAATACCGTGCAATTAAATTATTATTATTATTATTATTATTATTATTATTATTATTATTATTATTTTATATAATTGCAATTATTTCATGACGTAAAATTAAAAAAAAAAAAAAAATAAATTATCAACCGTAAAAATTTCAATTAAATTTAATTTTTTTCCCTTTATGCCAATCGTGATGTGCATATGTAAAACGTGTGCGAGCGTTTGTTGCGAGCGTTTGTTTGTTCCTTGCGTTTGTACCGCGTTTGCAGGATGTTTCTTTAACAACAAAAAAAAAAAATTACGCGTGATTGTGTTCTTTCCACGTCATCATCCGCAACGGTTTATATATAAATTTAAATAATTAACCGTTCTCACAAAAAAAACGGGAATTTCATACGTCTATGCAATGCGTAAATATTTTTTTAACTCACGCACACGCATAAACAACAACCAACAAACGCAAACGCAAAATTTTAAATTCCAAACAACTACGATCGTATTCAAATCACGCTTCTTTACTATGTACGTCCTTTTTCGCATCAACGTAAAATTTTCATTCAAAAAAAAACAAACGAACAAACAAACACCTTTTAATTTCATATCGTAATAATAATAATAATTATTATTATTATTATTATTAATATTATTATTATTTACTTATTTAATTGGATATAGAAAAAAAAATAAATAAATAAATTTGTTGTTTTTTTCCAAGGCAAACTTCCCTTACAAAAATAAAATAAAAATTTGCTATATTTTATCAAAATAAAGTAAAAAAATTATAATTAATAGGTTTTTTTTTATTACTCTGTAATAATAATTAATTAATTAATTAATATCCTATAATAATAATAATTATTATTATTATTATTTTATTTTTATTTATCACATTCACGATTGAATCGATTTGAATTAATTTAAAAAAAAAAAATTATTGCTTAATTACTCTATTCGTTATTTTTATTATCATTATTATTAACTTTTTCGTTTACTTACTCTATGATTTGATAATAATAATTACATACATTTATTAATCTGTTTTTTTTTGAAATTTCAACTTTGACTCTATTAATTTTATTTATTATTATTCGAGTCAAATTCGTGAGAAATAAATATAAATCATATTAAAATTTATTGCGTTTGTTTGGTTGTTTGGTTGTTGTTACGATATCACCAATATAATATCTCGTTTGCCCTATTTAATAGCGTAATAAGCATTTTGTCATTATTATTATTATTTATTTATTTTTACGCGAAAATTTTCGCATAATTTTAAAATGATAATAATTATTATCGTTATTTATTTTTCTCTAGCATTTTTTATTATGTAAATTTATTAGTATTATCATTATCATTATTTATATGAATTTATTAATCGAACTTGTTGAATGCATTTATGATAAAATAATTTATTAGCCTTTGGAGAAAAAAAAGAAAAATGGAGAGAAAACACCTGAGTTCTGGATAAAAAAAAAATTCACAATAACCGTCGGGTTTTAGTTTTATTCGCAACATGAGAAAGTTGTAGAGAGAGACTGCATTTTTTATTTAAAATTAAAAATTTTTTTTTATTTAAATACATTTTATCATTATTAGCTTATGTGAATCGTAATCATTTTAAAAAAAAATTTTCTTATTTTATTTTGCACACACTCTTACGACGTTCGTTCAACGGACATTTGGTGTAGAAAAAAAAAGAAATTAATAAATTGCTCAAAAACAACCTGTTAGTAATTTTGTTTTTTTTTTTTTTTTATGTTTATCCTTCGGGGCATAATCATCTGGAGAAAATAACAGGAAAAAAAAAGACAAAAGAAAAAAAAGTGAAATATTTTTTATGCGTAATAAAAAAAAAAAAAACGTTCATTGACACGTTGATCGATTAATCATCGAACAACAACAAACAACAACAACAACAAACAACAAACAACAAATAACGAATCAATATATAAATATTAATCTATCTATAAATTATTATTATTCGTTTTTTTTTTAATTTTTCCTTTTAAAACTTTTTTATCACTCGTTTTTATTTCCTTTGATCTTATCTATAAACCTCACGTTTTTAATTATAATAATGATAATAAAATTATTACCGAATATTTAAGAAAAAAAAAAAAATTTCTCGTTCGAACGCAAATTTTTTTTTTGTTTTTCAAATGTTTTTCCTTCCGACTTTTAATTTTTCAGGTTTTTTTCCCCCGTCTTCTGCTTCTTTTCCCCTCCCTCAAGCTTACGTAAAATTAAAAAAAAAAAAAAAAAAAACGTTAGATAATAAAACACGACAGGAATAAATAAAAAAAAAAAATTTAACGTCCGAGTGACGACTTAGGAAGTATTTATCTATTTTTTTAATGTGACGTGCACTAAAGATGATAAAAAAAAAAAAACGATAAAACGTTATTAAAAATTATTTCCACGTTTATTTAAATGTTAAATAATAATAATAATAATTGGTGGTCTCTTAGTTTTTAAAACGATAACCCAGATGAAACAAAAAGAAAGAAAGAAAGAAAAAAAAAAAAAGAAATTTATTTATTTTCTTCTACTACTACGATGATAATAATAATAATAATAATAATATTAAAGACCGGATAACTATTTTACAATCAGATAATAAATTAAATTTCAGTAAATCATCTCCGTGTTACATAAAAAAAAAAAAAAAATAAAAATCCCCTTTTGAGATTTTTTTAAAAAAAAAAAAACAGTTGCCATGACTTTTGCTGAACTGAACGTTCTAAACAAGAAGAACCTGTAATGTGTAAAGATGGCCGTTACGAAGAGTTTGCGAAATCTTATTCGTCTCTCACCTTGAGTTAAACCACGATTTATTTATATATTATTCTATCTATATTATAAAAATTCGTGAAATCAAACGTTTATTATCATTATCATTATCATAAATAACGTGCAATTTTTTTTATTCGTCCGTACGACGATGGTTTTTTCTTTTTTTTAATAAAGTTCGTTACCGCAGATTCTACCGGATTCTTTAAAGTTCTAGCTGTTGTTGATGAATTTTCCTTAAACAGATGCAAGAGAGAGAGAGAGAGAGAGAGAGAGAGAGAGACTATGTTGTGTGTGAGGTAGTAGTTAGATTGTATTAAACGATATAAACAAGTTAAGAAAACAAGAAA